GCGCAAATTCTCGCTCTACGCGAAACCCTTTAAAACCTTTGAGAAAATACGAACCTTCCTAACTTCGTCAACATGCCTTTAGTTTGGAGTAACAGCATTGTGTTGGCAACTAGCGACATCTTCAATTTGGATTAACAGCACTAGAGCCACACAATCAGGCGATCGAGGAGCACCTTCAGTTTGAAATAACAGCACTGCTTCGAGCTTGTTCGACTATCTATCCAAGTCTCTGTCAACAAAGAGTCTTTGAGTCCTTGTTTGAAGAGGTATTACCAGGTTACCTAGTGTTCAGCACATTGAAAGTCAAGCCCTTTTTTATGATTTGATATTCTCAAGTACACTTCATAGTTCGCATTCCAACGGTCGAACCACATTCACAGTCAAGACACTTATATCTTTTGAGTATTTATGTTCTTATAGTTTAATTCCGACTTGGTGCACTTATATTTTCATGAATATAAAGCAGTCAAACCCAATGTAGATGATCCTGAACTTCGCAATGACTAATAGCCTTGTCTTTAGGCTCTAAAACCGAGAGGCCAAGATGAGTTCCTTCCTCAGCCAAAATTTGCTCAAATACATAAGTGGGCAACACATTTAACACCACCACCACATTCATTCTACTCATCGTCCGAGCTCAGTCGTCGAGTTGTCAAGTCCGCATTTCACCAAATGACATATTTAGCTCATTAGCTTTCAGTCTGCGCACCCCGTAGGCTTAGTAATTTTAGGATCAACAGTAACATACTACTAACGTAGAGGTTAGAGTTTAAGAGTAAAACACCGTTGAGACATAAAATGAGCTGCTAGTGTTTCTTCATTAGTAGAAAATGATTTCCATGTTTTCTCCTCCACTCATTCCATGATGTATCCCTTGATTCTCCTTTAATTTATTCAATTCAAATGCCAAAATAAAAAGGGGTACATTGAATAGGGACAAAATAAGAGCGAAGATCATTTCTCTACCGAAAACAGTGATCCCCTAATACCGAAAAAACAGAAAACAAACTCGTCTCCATAACCCATACAACATGGTCCACGTTCGGCTAAACTCGTCTCCATAACCAATAACAAAAAAGAAGTCAGTCCAAGTTGTTGGCATTGATCTAGACGTAGACAGGTTAAATATAATCCACAAAATAGAACTCGCATGCACAAGTAACTTTAGTAGATCTGTTGATTCACCGAACCATCTGTTGGTTGCTTCCATGTTTACATGGCACCCGTCAGTCAGAGGTGGCAAACTCACATTCTCCCTCCATCTCTTTCAACAACATAACATTCAGAAATTTATTAGAGAGCATCACCCCACCAACCCCCTTAAGGGCTACATTGTTCACAACCACAGACTCACTTCTCATTCATTCATTCTCTTACATCACATCCCCACTCTCTTATATCATGTTATTCCATCCAAATCTCTCATCTTTCACTCCCTACACATCCGGCCAAAAGATGAACAAGTCCCTGAATCCACCGCAAATTCCAGAGGCCGACTACGAGGGCACTGAGCGCATCCTAGTTCCTCCAAAACACATCACTTTAGCTGGTGCCTTCGAAAAGAAACAACACTCCTGGTATAAACAGATAAAGTCTGGCCTAAACTTCTCAATTAGTTCGCCTCCATTCCCTATTCGACTGTTTATCTTCCCTCTCACTCTTTCCTTTCCTTTGGTGGATTCATGCAGGTTCATCGATTCTCATGTACCAACGGACCTAACCATTCAAGTTGAAGGCGTCGCCTTTAACGTTCACAAGGTAACCACAGAGCAATACAAACATGCATGGCTCAAGATATAACTTGATACCCAACACACATCTACAGAGTAGTCAATAATTTCATGGTCCATGCTCTTTATTTTTGCAGTGTCCCTTGCTATCAAAATGTGGCTACATAGGTCGACTGGAATTTCATCCTTCACATTCAAACTTCGGTTATGAACTCGAGCTTGAAAACTTCCCCGGCGGATCAGAAACCTTTGAACTCATTTTAAAATTCTGTTATGGTCTTCCAGTGGGCTTAAACCCTAACAATATAGCTCCGCTGAGATGCGCCTCGGAATTTCTTGAAATGACTGAAGAAATTCAAGATGGAAATCTCATTTCTAAGACCGAATCTTTTCTCACACTTGTAGTCCTTTCTTCATGGAAAGACACAGTTTCTGTGCTCAAATCTTGTGAAACTCTATCTCCATGGGCTGAAAATCTTCAAATTGTCAGACGCTGCTGCGACACAATCGCTTGGAAGGCTTCCAGAGAGAAGGTAATTCGGGATGCAGATGGTCAAGAAGGCTGGTGGTTTAACGAAGTGGCTACCTTTCGAATAGATCATTTCATGAGGACTATAACAGCAATAAGGGCAAAGAGTACCAGACCAGAGTTTTTAGGTAAATGTATTATGCACTATGCAGAAAGATGGTTGACAGGCATGGATGTGGAGTTTGAAGGACTAAGAGGATATGGGCTTGGAAAGAATGAGCTGCGGTTCAGTATATTGAATAGGAGCAAGGAAGACGTGGATTACGAATACAGCAAGGAGCAAAAAGCAATTATTGAAAGCCTAGTAAGCATCCTACCTCCTCAAAACGAGGCTCTTCCATGTAAGTTCTTATTGCGTATGTTAAAGCTGGCCATGCTGTACTCTGCGTCGCCAGCGTTGATTTCAGAGCTTGAAAAAAGAGCAGGGATGATGTTGAAAGATGCCAATGTGAACGATCTGCTGATTCCTAGTTACTATAATGCAGATCAAGGGAAACTGGCTAAGTGAGTATTCTACATTCTTTATTTATTACGAATTGGAGAGATACTTACAGTATAATCTTTCCGGCGTAACCAACCTTCATGTTCTTGTTAATTATAGTACAGTTCACCTGAAGAATGCATGATGCACGACATTGAAGTTGTGCAACGGATTGTGGAATATTTCTTGATGCATGAGCAGCAAGAACAGCAACAGAAGACTGCTAAAATCGCTGTTAGTAAGCTGTTAGACAACTACCTAGCAGAGATTGCAGGAGACCCAAACCTCTCCATAACAAAGTTTCATGTATTGGCAGAATTACTGCCAGAAAATGCTCGAACATGTGATGATGGCCTTTACAGAGCCATTGATACCTATCTAAAGGTTGCCTTCTCACCTGTTTCCCTAGTTTTTCCTTTTTCATAACTAAAACCTAACCCTTTTTCTTTCAGACTCATCCTACGCTGCCTGAGCATGACCGGAGAAGGCTATGCAGAATAATGAACTGTGATAAACTATCGCTCGATGCATGCATGCACGCTGCACTAAATGATCGACTGCCTATGAGAACCATTGTCCAGGTAACATTTTTCAAGTTTGAGTTATGAGAATACTGAATTGGCCAATGCTGAAACTTAGTTTTAAAATGTTAAGATATCACTTATATCCTTAAGGAATCTAGACCTTTTACCATGACAGATTTACATGCTTGCATTCCAATTAAAACCAATATATATATATAATTTTATCATGTAATAACAGGAAACGAAATGCAACCCAATAACCTCCACCAACCACAGACTAAGGTATTTATGGTTTTATAAGCAGCACGATAATGAAACTAACTAGAGACTGCATGACAAGAAGATACCCAAAAAAATAAAAATTAACCTGTGACTGAAATAAGCGCCCCAATTTATTTTGCTTCGCACTATTTTTATGCACATTGAATTCAAAGTACAAACATACAGGCATCCAGCTAAGTGATGAAAACATGAGATGGAATTCCAGCAGTCTCAGGAATATATAATTTAGCAATTGGAAGGAAAGAACGTCGATCTCACACAAAACATGCTAGAACCACAGTATTGTATAACAAAGTAACTGAACAAATTTCAAATTCAAATTCAAATTTAAGAGTTCTCTAGTGAAAGTTGAATTACACAGCACGATAAAAGAAAAATATTGCAGCAAAAACGATCCAAGTATAAAACCAATCTGAATATCAAAATAAGAACCCTAAATGGACACTTATATCTTGTATGGACTAAATTGACTGATGTATGTCAAATTAAAATCACTCAATTGAAATGTACGAAAAAATTACATTAACTGAATAGAAATCCTAAAACCCTCAAGTAAACAGAAAATTTTCAGAAACCATAATTCTAAAAAATGGGTTTTACGAAGGCATTCCTATAAAAAAGGAAAGATTAGAATCTAATACCCTTATATAATCTAGGTGTAAAATCCTCACAAAGGCGTAGACAACTATCTGAGAATTCGATGAACATTGCATTTATGACACATGGAGACACCTCTAACTGTAGAAAGCAATTATGAAACACGTGCAGGTGCTGTTCTCAGAGCAAGTAAAGATGAGGACAGTGATGCAAGAGAAGGAATCACCAAGCGGCGATAGCTCTGAACAGCACGGGAACCACTCATCAACAGATGCAGAGATTAAAAATCTTAAAGCAGAACTTGAGAATGTAAAGATGAAGATGGCAGAGCTGCAGAGTGACTACTCCGAACTGCAACACGAGTATGAAAGGATAATAAGCAACAAGCAAAAGAATGTATCGGGTTGGAGTTTGGGATGGAGAAAAATCAAGAACTCTTTCCATACAAAAGTTGAGGAAAATGAAACTGGAGGCAACCAACAAAGAACCAACCCAGCTAGGCGCAGAACCACCTCCATACGAAGGTCGTCAATATCCTAAATTGCATCAGCCCATGACGCAGAGACATCCCACAATATATGAGAGTTACGCCTTTCAAGAGCATCATCCATTTCAACTGGTTTGTTCACAAACACTTGGAATGGTTGATAGTTTGTAATTGCACATCTATACGTAATGTATCCATTATACATTAAAAGAAATAAAGAGTAAACTGTGTTTGAAGCTTTGCTATTATTCCTTTGCTACCACTAGAAGCCTGCAAATTTTCAGAATTGGAACGCACGGGATGATGAAACATATTTATGGACGGATATAAATAATCTTGCGGAGGGGGAGTCGTCATGTTTTGACACCGATTATCAACGAAACAAAAGACATTTCTTTCATATCATATGTCATAGTAAGCCTATTAAAGTTCCGTCCTCGACAATTTCCAACTTTATAAGCAGCTACCGGGTCAAGTAAAGCACATAACCGCGCAATGCATCATCAGGCAAGATTAAGCATAAACATTACACCCATATGCTCTACTAATCGAAAGCATAACAGCCACCACACGGCCATATAATTTATCAAACCCTCAAGTATCATAAAATTCAAAGTCTCCAAATAAAAACCTTAAAATCTCGTCAAACCTGCCTAGCGGAACCTCATGCTGCTCCAGGGGAACTTGGCCGAGCCGTCGCCGAAAACAGCCGAACCCTTATCGGTGTTCTTACCCCTGTGAGTGCTTGGCGGCTGCTGCCGCCGCTCCTTGTTCCCGTAAAGCCAATGCTTCTCGGTCTCGCCCTCTTCGACGACGGCGGACTTGGTCTGGTTGGCTGTCTGCTGCTTGCGGTCCTGCTGGACGATTCCGATGGGGTAGAGGTCCTGGGAGAGGGAGAGGGGAGCCTTGAGGGTGACGTAGGCCTTCTTGTAGTCGGGTTTTGCGATGAGAAGACCGCCACGCTTCTTCTTCTTGCCCTCCATGTTGAGGGTGCGGACCTTGTCGACCTGGAATCCGTAGAGGGACTCCATGACGCGCTTGATTTCGATCTTGGAGGCCGATGGGATGGTTTTGAGAGCAATTTCTGTGATGTTGGTGAAGTTGTTGGGCATCAGAAGCTTGATGGGTAGGTTTGCGAAGTGGACTACCCTCCTTCCCAATCTGCTTCCCATGGTGAATGATTTTCTCTGCTTCTCTGTGAATTTGGTACGACTGGCACTGGAGCAGCTCTGCGCGCAGCTTTGGGTGCGGGAGAGAGACTCCTCCACTTCTCGTTTCTCAGCGGGAGTGGGCCTATCTTGGTGATGAACCCAAAAACTAAGGTTGAAACGGCCCAATAACTGTTCTATAATTGCCTAGCAAATGGATCGTGTTTGTCGTGTTTGTGTTATATTCTAAACTTATTATCTTCATGGATGACCCAATCCGTTAACTGGATGACCCAAAATCTGTTATTTTCGTGTTCTTTCTTGTCATGTTAACGGGTTGTGTAATAAGTTGACAATCTTGATATTTTTCCTTTGGAACAAATAATAAGACTTTTGATTACCAATAGCGACACCCTAAGAAATTATTTACAGTACAATTGACGCAAATCATATGTGCATGAATCTTGTCGGGACCGGTTAGGGTGCATCAAGGTTACCTATTGACAATCAGATATGGTTGTTAGATGGCATTGTAGACATCAAAATTTCGGTGAAATGAATGTTGACCAATAATTAAAATTTCAACGTTCACGTGTCACATAAATTTTACATGTAGCGTGTGATTCAACGAAAAATCGAAATAAATTGGAAAAGTCATCAAATATGACACGTGTCAATACCTGGCAGAAATGATTTATTTCATCTGATTATTTAAATCCAAAAATCAAGTTTTGGAATTCTATAAATAGGAGGCCAAGGCATTCATTTTGGGAGGAAGGAAGAAAGAAAGGAAGAAAGAAAGGAAGAAGGAAAGGAAGAAAGAAAGAAAGGAAGAAAGGAAGAAGCCTTGAAACTCTAAAGCTCTCAAGCAAATCCCGAAGGATCAAGAAAGCACTCTTCGTTCTTCGTCAAATCCAACCTTCAAGATCAAGCCCCAACGGCTCTTGAAGAACTTCCACCAACTCAAGATCAAGCCCCAACGGCCCTTGAAGAACTTCCACCAACTCAAGATCAAGCCCCGACGGCCCTTGAAGAAAGTGTTCATCGTTCATCATCCGTTCATCCTAAGATCAAGCCCCAACGGCCCTTTGGATCAACAACCTCAACAAATCCACACATCTAATCAACCTTCAAGATTAAGCCCAGAAGCCCTTGAAGATCCGCTCATCCATCAACCTTCAAGATCAGGCCCCAACGGCCCTTGAAGAACTCCAACCAATTCAAGATCAAGCCCCAACGGCCCTTGAAGAACTCCCACCAACTCAAGATCAAGCCCCGACGGCCCTTGAAGAAAGTGTTCATCGCTCATCATCCATTCATCCTAAGATCAAGCCCCAACGGCCCCCTTTGGATCAACAACCTCAACAAACTCATACACCCATTCTTCAAGATCAAGCCCAACGCCCCTTGAAGATCCATTCATCAACTGTTCATCCTCAGATCAAGCCCCCGACGGCCCTTTGGATCAACAATTCATCCACAAACCTACACCCTACGAAGATAGAATCAGAGGACCAAATTACAAAGAGATTGTAACCCTAAAAATCATTAATACAAAATATATTATTTTGTACACGTATTCTTGTCTCTTGTTTCAGGAATTATTCGTGTTTACAAATTTGGCACGCCCAGTGGGACTATCTCTACCTCTCATCTCTATCCTCAAATCATCGAAAAACGCAAATGGCATCAAGAAAGGATCAAGCTGTTCCTGCAATCAAAGCAAAGAACAAGAACATCATCGTCGCAAGTGGTGATATTTCGGGCATCATAACCCGAAGTAAGGCAAGAGATCTTTTTGCCGCGGCTTCAGTCCCTGCATTAACTCTGTCAAAGGAACAAGAGCACCTGAGGTACGAGCCTGTGATCACCCTAGCCTCGCTAAGGGCATCAAAAGGGGAGAGCCCAAGGAAATACTCAGAGTCCCTACTATCCGACGCTGATTCGAGCGGCAGTACAACCATGCAAGTCATGACCACGGGAGCAACTTCAATCGAGGAGCAGCTAGCTCAGATGAATGAAGCAATCGCAAAGCTCACACGAACTGTGGAAGAGAAGGACTTGCAGATTGTCGCACTTATCAACCAACTAGATGCGCTGCCCGACGTGAAAGTTGACCCAATTGTTGGCCTATTAAAGAAAGAAGGCGACGAAGAAGAGGAGCCACCAGCGGAGAAAGTCGAAGAGAAGCCGAAGCTAGACTAGGCAACGACATCCATGGGATCTCTCTCTATCCAGCAGCTACAGGAGATGATCGCAAGCACTATCAAGATACAGTACGAAGGAAGCTCGCATGACTCCGTACTGTACTCAAAGCCTTACTCCAAGAAGATTGATGCTTTGAAGATGCCAAGGGGTTATCAGCCCCCAAAATTCATGCAGTTCGATGGAAAAGGCAACCCGAAGCAACATGTCGCCCATTTCATTGAAACTTGCAACAATGCTGGGACAGAGGGAGACTACCTCGTCAAACAGTTCGTGCGTTCGCTGAAAAGTAACGCTTTTGATGATAGGAGCATATTTATGCGCCTTAGTTAGCTAGTTCTTATGCATTTTTGTTATGTTTTATTCGTTAAAGTAGTCTTTTAAGCTACTTTCATGTGTTTTCAGGTTTAAAGGACATATTACATGAAATGATGCAATTGGGAGCTTTTGGAGCAAAACTGAGCTGGAATGTGGTGTATGCAAATGGAGCACGAGGAATGAACGAGGTTGAAGGTCAAAGGAGCTTAAGAAATGAAGAAATGAAAGTGAAGAGCAAGGAAGTCGGAATTGGTAACCAAAGTTTCTAAAGTTGGAAGTTTCTATTCTTGGAGGTTTCCATTGTCGTGAGTTTCTATTCTTGGCTTTGGGCTTTTAGATGACCTAAACCCTAACCTTAGCCCATTTTAGAGCCATTGCCATGGGCTTTAGCCCAAGTCCTTTCCCTTGCCATGCAAGGGGAGGCATTTTAGGCCCAAATCCATGCATTAAGCCCTTCACCCTAATTGGCCCAAATCCATGCATTAAGCCCTTCACCCTAATTCTTCCTCCTAATTAGTGCATCCCACCATTCCATTCCATAATTTCCATTAGTGCATCCCACCATTCCATTCACACTTAAATGCTCATTATCCCATTTTTTTAGCTTTTAATTCCACACCATCCCATTATCCTTTACATCCACTAAACCATGCATCCACATTCACCTAAATAAACCCTAAATTACATCCACTAAACCATCCATCCACCATAATTCCTACCATCCACACCTTTTCCCATCCACCAAATACCTTAAACAAACATCCATTAACACCCATTCTCTTCCTATAAATACCCATTCATTCCATTCACCAAATCATCTCATTTTCCATTGTAATACACAAACACTTCCCCTTCTCCATCTTCTCCATTTCCACTCCATTCCACACTTCCATCCCCCCAACCAACCTATCCTTAAACCTTGTGCTACAACAACGAGGAAGAGAAGAGTGTCTAAACGTTCATACAATTCAAGTTTGAGTTGTTGGAATGTTTAGGTGTTTCTTTGATTTCAAAGTTTCATTTTAATTCTCTTTGTTTTGTACGTATAAGGAATGGAAGAGAAGAGTGTTTAAACGTTCATACAATTCAAGTTTTGAGTTGTTGGAATGTTTAGGTGTTTCTTTGATTTCAAAGTTATGAGGAACTAATCCCCCTTTAGCTAGGGGGTGATTCGAAATATATGTTTATGCTTGCAATATGATTTGAGTACTTTTAATTACGTTTCATAAGTTGTGAATTCAATTTGTTTAACCGTTTGATTGATAACTTATTTATGAATGTTTATTAAGAATGCGCGCTTAATTTTCATGCATAAATATGACGCTAGAATATAAGTGAATTTCACCTAATCGTTATGAACTTATATTCACAAGTAGTGGAGGTTGCTTATAAACAATCGCGTTAAACATATTCTTGGCATAAGTTTCATGCAATCATAGTAACGAATGCCTCGTCAACGCTTATAGTTTTCATGTTGCTTAATGATTCTTGCTTGTATCTCTATTATGCAATTCATGTAGGGAACTTGTGAGGAATGATTTGAATTGTCGTATGCAATCATCCAATTCATTAACTTAAGGAAAACTTGACGGTTAATTTAAGCGGACCTAATTAACCCGGAGCGTTGAGAATTCATGGTTTATTGAAAAGCAATTAGAAATCGTTTTGTATGCAAGTATAACATGTATAGAGATGAACCCCTTAGCTAGCCATTCCATCCATTCTATCCCTTCGTTTTATAATTCTTCCTAGTTTATTAACTTGTTTTGTTATTACAATTTTCATCAAAACAAAACCCCCCTTTTACTTTCTTGTTCTTAGTGCTTAAAATCTGTTTAGTTTATGTTTTAAAATGTTTTGAGTTTTTGGTTTGTCTTAGTGTTTTAGAGTTTAGTTTCACATTCTTTGAGTCTAGTTTAGTGTTTTATATTGTTTTTATGTTTTTGAGTCAGTTTCCAAGAGATTAACAATCCCTCCTAATCCCCGGTCCAGAACGATCCCTCACTTATCCATTCTACTACAATTGTCAAACGAGGGTTTAATTTGAGTGTCAAGTAATTCTCGCATCATTTGACTGGTACACTGACCTCGAACCTGAGTCTATCAACAGTTGGGACCAGCTAGAAAGGGAATTCCTCAACCGTTTCTACAGCACTCGTCGTACTGTAAGCATGCTAAAGCTGACCAGCACGAAACAGTGGAAAGATGAACCTATCGTCGACTACATAAATAGATGGCGTTCTTTAAGTCTGGATTGCAAAGATCGGCTTTCTGAAACCTCTGCCATTGAGATGTGCGTTCAAGGCATGCAGTGGGGACTACACTACATCCTTCAAGGCATCAAACCACGAACATTCGAGGACTTAGCCACCCGCGCCCATGATATGGAGTTAAGCATCACCCGTCATGGGAAGAAAGAACAGATCGCCGACTACAAGAATGACAAAGTTTTGGGGCCAAAGGTGGATAAGGTTACGTGGAAACCCACCAAGGAAGCAATGACGGTCAACACAACTCCAGTCAAAATCCCTACACGAAGCAAGGCGATTCAAACCGAAGCTTTTCGTGATCAAGAGATACGTAGACGCACTTTGAAGGAGCTTGAGGAGAA